CGATCAAGCATGGTCATACTACTCGTCTGCCACCGTTAGCCTTTTCTCTGACACTCGACTGACTATCCTACTCTGATTCTAGAAAAGTTAATCTCACATGGGAATCTGTCGATCTAGCAAATGATCGGCCTGTGTACCCTCTTACAATCCTCTTTCAGTCAACGCTCTAAGCTTGATATCGATCTTCAACGTTTCCTTTTCGACCATACCGTTGAGACCGCATCAGTCAGTCAGCTGAGGATCGTAATGATTTATTACGAGATGGCCAAAGCCGTTGGGAATCCTAATCTGATGTCTAGCTCACTAATCCGCATCGCAACCATTGTCAGTGGGTTTACATCACAATATTTCGTGATTCCCTTTGATCCAAGCTCATAAGCCGTTCTGTTTTCTGGCTCTAACTGGGTTGATCAACAGTATAATGAATTGATCTCTGGGCTGATTTACGAGCAAGTATCCCGGATCGTACCGCCCCGTCAAGCGGCCCTCTATATCGTACTGGCTGCACATCGCTACACGTTTGCCCAGCAGAATTGGCTTTCGAAAATCTGTCTCAGGCAGTCTCCTCAATTTATTGGTTGGGACCGGACCGAAGATTATATCGATCACAAGATGGCACAGATGGCTGAGCTCGACTCAGATTGGCCCGCAGCTGTGATCCGCTACTGGAACGTGATTAGGAGACGGATCCATTCGGGTGCTTGTGATGAGGATGATGAAGTCTATGTTACGAAATTCAGAGCGCTGTATCAAGTAAGACTCGTCTGCAGTTCTCATTTTTCGAGATTCATCAATCACACCGTCCTTCATCATTAACACTCTACAACCTGTAGAAGTCGATCGACGTTAATCCATCATTGGAACTCCCTAGGATCGATGATATTTCCCTGTTTGATGTCGAACGCTGTAAGATTCGTGTACCTCATCAGAATCATCTTCAAGCATATCCGGACGTAGATTCAAGCATCTGGGAGCAACTGGCTTCCCGCTGTCCGGGGAGTCCTGATTTGGTGGACACACGCAAGGAACTAAATACAGCTGTGGTGAATGGTATGTTGTGGCCTTTGAAAAAAAAATTGTGTTTGCTATCTGCTTCATGAGGAGATGACAGATAACATGGGTACTGATATGTGTAATTGATGATATATTCAACTCCAAGAGCCTTTCTATCTGGACTTGTTCTTACAAAATCCTTTGAAAACCTCGATCAAGGTTACCCATCTCGATATCAAGGTGGCCAATTCAGATACACCCGTCAACTCGGATGATGATCTTTTATCCAACCTAGAAATCACACCCATCGAAGATTTCGAACTTCTCCCACTTGAAACCCGTGAAGTAAGCAACGGACTATAAGTCCTCTCTTCTAGGTTTTCTGGTGAACTAACTTTATTTTTTTTCTAAAAAAAGATTTCAGTCAAGTTGTTATGCAAGAGAGCATCGATGAAGATTGAAATAACACACGTCAAATTCAGATTTGATTCATTAGTTGATTGTTCACAAAAGTTGAAGAAGAAAGGGAAGCGACTCCAAGCTACTTTAATCCAACGGCTAGGCCGGGTCTATACGAACGACCAATCCATGCAAGTTCGCGTTCGAGACGAGATTCCTATCCTTGAAATCGTCGGCTCTGAGAATCTCCCCACGACAATCTATGATGGCGAGAGCTTGATTTCGAGGATCTCGATTCGTAACTCGGGGCAAGTTGGATTGAAGGACTTACGATCCGTTATCAGTCACACCAGCTTCTTCAGATTTTGCTCAGATTCACAATCAACCACTGAAAGTAGGTCTTAATCCTAATGATCTGGTCGGCGTAGTAGTACTGTCCAAATCATAGCCCGTATTGATCTTGATGATTTTCTAATCGAATTCGTCTATGAGTAAAGCCAGTGTTTTATACGAAAAATCCAGTGATGACTCTTCCGAACAGATGATCCTAGAAACGCCTAACCACTTGCTTCCAGAATCACCAGCCTTGTTGGCCCAGGATCTGAAGGAAGGCGAAACCATGGAGGCTTCGATTGTTTGTCGAGGGGAGGGCGTTGGACAGCATACCACATGTTGGGTGTTTGTGTTCCGGCATGCTGTGAGTCACTTGAATTATTTTCTCTATTCTGTCCTATAATCGTTGATCCTAAGGCTGCTGTTGCTCTTTTGCTGCCAAGACTTCTGGAGAAATTTTGAGCTTCCGTCATGTCCAGTATCTAACCGTCCTACCTTCATTGTCGATCAAACCCGTCATTCGCCCCAGTCTCACACCGGATCCCTTTTACTTGTTAACCCTAGAGGTTGGTAGCTACTCTCGCCATGAGGACAATGCGCCTGAGATTATGCTTGACTAACTAGTGAAAGTTCATTCAGCTCGATTGCCAGGACCTTTCCGAAGATATTGAGATATACCAAGTCTCAACGATCAGTACGCATTGGTCGTGCAAATGGATCAATTGTAATCCAGGATCGTCGGGTCTGCTTCAGCTTCCAAAGGGATCTTCGTCTGTCAATCTGGCTTTCGAGGTCCATCCCCGCCACGACTCTCGCGACGATCCAACCATGATCACCATGCTAGAGCAACTCAAAAAACTGCTCAAGAAGGAAGAATTGGTGTCTGATGAAATCGCCAAGTCTTCTGTCCGCTCCCATGTTTCTTTGACCCATCCAGTAAGTCGTCTCTTGTTTGTTTTTTATGTTATATGTATATCTATGTGTGGGAACTTCCCCGATCGTCTCAAAAACAGTTATTGTTCCATGATTGGTATTTCGCAGACCACTGAGCCATTTGTCAGGCTTGGCGCCCCCACACTCCTCAACACCGTCCTCACATCGCGGCGAAGCGCGCGACGGAAAGCGTTGGAAGGCTATTTCACGAGCCTGACGGGGCCAGAAATCGAGTCGATCTTCCCGCTAACGACGAGTCGATCGATGGAGATGCTCGTATTTTGGAGGAGCAAGGAGGAGTCCGGCAAGTTCCTTCAAGGACACCATTCTCTTCCCGAGCTCAGTTTCGGCGCGACCCTCGATCTTGTGAGGGATACTCTGGAGATCGTCAAGGATAAAGCCGGTGGAATGTATCAGCAAAGTCAGCTCCAGCAGAAACTCCTCGTCGCTCAGTTCCAGAACTCCGAGTTCGGTAGCTCTCAGGACCCGTTGGCTGTCGAGCTCTCCACTAGTCAATCATTCATCGAATGGGATTTCGAGAACAAAGGGTGAGTCTTCCGATTTGTTTTACAGTATAGATGCAGGCTTTGCCTTTGAGGGGTATTGATTAGGTTTTGGGTTTGTTGGGTGTGGCTCCTTGGGTCAGTCCATTGACGATCCCAGTGACGTTCACGATCAAGAACCTTTCGACGAGTGCGTCCGCATGGTATGAGTTGAGGCTAGAGCGGGGAGACATGCAGACGAGAGCGAGTCCGCAGAACGCTCCTTCAGCCGGGCCGGTCTTCTCCTCATCTACTCCTCACGAGAATCATATGGCCTCGACCAATTGGGTCGGTCAACTTAATCATTCTGGGGCCTTGGAGCCGCTCCAAAAGCGCCAGATCGTCGCCGCGTGTTGGGTCTTTGGTCCCGCCATCGTCGACCTGGGCAATTGGACTTGTCGCGCTTCGTATCGTCCTCTTCTTCTGGATGTCGATGGTCAGAATCTGCGGGCCATCGAGAAGAAGCCGGCTTGGATTAGAAACGGAACGTCTAGAGTCGTTCATGTCTCGTCTCTCTCTTCTTCTGATGCTTTCTCTTCATGATAACCTCAACCAAAACATAACTCTTCTTTCCTTTTTTTTCCGTTATGTGTTTGTGTTGTTGTTTCTTAATTTGTATGTAAATGCTGCAAGCAATGATTTTTCTTTTCTTTTCAGAAGTATTCAAACCGCGTCTGAACGCGGAAAAACCGTGTTTTTTTTTATTAAAGCATTTTTTTTGCTATTTTCAATGGGCTTTATGAGAGGCAATCAATTTTTGGTTGTTTGCCACGGTTCTATGACTTTGACACTCATTCATTGAATGGCTGCTGGTGAAGCATGCTTCTAAACCATCAGTATATATTTCAACTTGAAAAACCCGAACGACCAGATATACCCACGTGCATATCACCCCTAACAAGATGTTCTCTCTCTTTTTTTGGATAAGTAAGATACTGGAGCGGCACAACGCTTCTCTCGACCGAGTTCACATCAGGGCCCTAGGCCTATCATTCAGTTACAGACTTAACACCGTCCCCGTTGGACTCTCAATCATCTTTCATCGGCAAATCAAGTTTTGCTTTTTAGACTCTAGGGGTCTAAAAATCAAGCGCTCCAGGTTGATGAGGGGTCCTCAAGTCTAGCTCTTGAGGCTCCAAATAGCTTCTGGGGAAACCATCTACTCAGCTCCACTGCCAGTACTGAAGAATGTTTTCTGGAAATCTCCAATTCAGGAACTTAATGTCACTGAGTGGGGCTAAGTGCCCCTCCATGTTTCACCAAATGCCCCTGATCCGACCTGCAAAGTCGGCTCGCCGCTCTGGGACAGACTGTCTGACTCTGTGTCAGAGTGTCTAGACTCGATACAGGAAGCCTGAAACAGTCAAGTTTGTACAACATATCATCAAAAATATTCAAAGTGACATTTCCATGGGCGAATGCGTGCCTTAGAGATTTCGGTGTCTAAACATGTCGCAATTGTCGGAACGAGACTCTTCAACCGAGTTGAACCCGGTAGTGATTAGGTCACAAGCAGCAGGTTTTGGTCCATGTGACACGCAGTATTCCTTATCACAGTAATAAGATCTAGAATCTGGTACCGTGTTCGCCCGACAAACACCCAGATAAGCACCAGAACACCCTGCTTTTTCAGACTCCACCAGTCAGTCAAATTCACAAGTCCCAGAGGCTCATTCAAATATCACACTCGCTTTATCACCAACTCAGGTAACAATTGAGCTGCATTTACTGCACAAGAATCCTCCAGTCACCGAACTTCAATCATTCTACCCGGGTTTAGATCATGCAAAGCAAGCTATTTCCGATTCTTGTCTTCCTGTTCTGCCATCAAAGCTTGGTATTCGGAAGACCGATGGCAGATTCAAGAGCTGTCAGTCGAGGAGTCGATGCCTCACACGCAAGCCTTCCTGAGACTATAGGCGCGAACTCCGCCAGGAATCCGTTCGAAGAGAAAGGGGAAAATCTACTCACCGAAACAAAGGGTGCAAGGCGTCGTCCAAAATCATCAGAGTCGATTCCAACAGAGGAGACACCGCTTCTAGACCGCCCGCAAAATGAAGAGAGTTCTTCAAAGCCATCAGGGCCGACTCCAGAGCAATCCGAACAAGCCAAGGGCAGAAAGACGGCCAGTATTCTCGTTAGATTTAAGCAGTGCTTGGCCCGTTGGTACCGAGGGCATTCGGCGGTGGCCACAATCATGCGGGCCTTGGTCGCTTACTTGAATCCAGCCAAGATCAAGAACAAAGAAAAAGACGCCAAGGAAGCCAAAGACGTAGCAAAGGCAGAAAAATCGGCCTCCACAGCTAAAGAGGACGTCAAACTTGCAGCGAAGGTGTCCGATGAGAAGCCTCCCACAGCAACGAAACCTGAAAGCCCGTCCGTCCAAACTTCATCGACCGAAACTGCAAAACCCATCGACCGCTCGGAGACTTCCAAACATGATAATGGCGCCGCCGGCAAGTAACATCATCCAGTCCCGGATCCTGTCCTGCAGCGAAGTCGAGTGGCTCAGCCTACAATGTACATCTAGTCTTACACCCAACCGCGGCCGGGACAATTCGCTTCCTTGATGGTTCATTTAGCTTATATTTGACTCGTTGTTTCACTAAATGGCATCTACTCTTTCTGAAAATGGCTTACAAGTCCGTCCCAAAATCGGCAGCCTTTGTCAGTGTTCACACCCAAACGAGCCGTCTCTGATCGACCAGTCCACGTACATCGTTCTTCTCGTGTAATTACCAACCACTTACATGTTCCACAAAAATCTCAACCTCTTAAGCAACATACCAAAAATGTGGTTCCCCCCTTTCGAGCTTATTTTTATTTTTTCATGTAAAACACACATTCTTTTTATTGCTCATAAGAATCAGTTCCAGAAAGGAGGTCCAGGCGAGCGCCTATCGACGGACTCCACATACAAAAAAGATTGGCCCATGATGATCACAAATATAGTCCTAAGCAACAAATGATTTGGGTGCGATTGATCATGGTCCATTGGGCATTAATCCCAAATAGGATGTAAATGGATTCCACCATTAGGGTCAGTTGGGTTGGACATGAACATGTGGGAGTATTGCACTTGGGGCAATCGGTGAAGCAAGGTGGATTAAAGCCCAAAACATAGTGGGTAGACACAAGATCCTGAACAAATTCCTTACAATCACTGCTAGAGATCTCAATTAAGGACTCAAAGATTTTGTTGACACAAAGGTTTTTGTTTGTTAATCCACAAGCCATAGATTGCAACCTCTCCCAATTATGTGCAGGTTACACCTGCAAACCAACATTTCCTTGAAAAACCCATCAAAAGGGGAGCAGGATTAAAACAAGAGGGTCACATTTTGAGGACACAGTTGTGGCAGAATTCCCCAACACTAGACTACTTTTTAGCAGAATTCTGCTACAACACTACAGCTAACTGTTGATTAAATCACAAAAAATCCAACACTAATCTGACTCAATGGTAAAGATGGCCATTGGTACCCGGGTACCTCTAGTGGTACCCTGGTACCTCCTTTGTTTTGCTCAGAAATGGACACCAGATACCTCACCTGGCACCCCCTGGTGGGTACCAGCAGTACTTTGGGCAGGTACTAGCGGCCCACCACTGCTACAGGGCCAAAATGCTGCTGACTAGTGTATCAGTGCAGAGTGGCAGGCACACCTACACAAGAAGTGCTACCACAGACATGGCAGAATTCTGCTGTGCTACACTCAATTTTGGTGGAATTCCACCACACTACTAACTGGCCCATTGTTGTCAGAAGGAAGAATGGAGGACTTCCGATGCAAACTGGAGCCTTTCCAGAATTCATTCCTGAGAACTCTAGATTCTTGCAGAGAAATATGTTTTTTGGAGGCTCTAGAATTGGTTCTGGGGGACCTGCAGATTCCAACAGGAAGTCATCCAATGCTATCTAATAGGAATAAATTTTAAAACTTCTGTAGATGTTTCTTGAAATATTCTCTGGCAACTCTGTCTTTACATAAATCACCACTATAATTCTCTATGAGACATAGACTCTGTAAGCTTTCTACAAGTCTTTGTTAGGCTTGTATCTTTGGAGAGTCCCTAAGAGAGGGTGTCCCCACTCCAAACATGTGGGATTTCATCAAGTTGGACGAGTAATCTGATTTAATATCTAGGTGAATAGGGCTCTTATAGATCTCACAACCCACAGAGCTATCAGTTTTGTTACATATCTTCTAACCAGTCAGCCAGTTAGATCGTTATTTCCTTTTTTTTCAAGTCAAACAATCGACAAATTTCTCCTCATCCTTTTTCGTCAACCATCTACATCTTATAAGTTGATATTAAATAAGTGGCTTTTAGGCTGGAATCGGGACCAACTGGACTGTCAAGATCATCAGTTTTTAGGATACGATGTAGAAGCTGGAATCTCGAAGTAGTCCCATTGGCCGGGCGCGGGTTTTTCCTCCAACTCTTGCCAACTACGAAATCGAGAGAATGGCGAGGTCATTAAGGGATCTTCAAGCGTCTGGAGAGAGAGAGAAAGGGGTAGAAGGAAATAGGAAGAATGAATTTGAGAGACGGACGCTTTGTATTCGATCATTTTCAAGACGAGTTGATGTTCATCTTCGGCCTGTTCGATGGCCTTCTCGATCATCTCGACTCCGAGCTCGTTCTCGGCAGCTTTAACGCGCTGTTCGACGGCATCAGCGGTTTCACCAGGGACCGCAGCGGAGAGATATTTCTTGATGATTTCCAGGTTATTCCGAGTGGTTGAGTGGACGGCCTGACGGTAGACGGTAGATGCCGGGATTTTCTCGAGAGCCTTGAGGGTGTCCTGGTAGGTTTTGGATAAGGACTCGAAGGGGGAATGGTGTACATCCACCCCGGTCTGGTTCGTCGTCAGTTTGGTCCGTCCGATCGGGATCAAATGTACACCCGCTGGACCTCGGGCCTTCGGTGGTACTTTGGCGGCGACCTCTTGGACGCCTTTCAATGCATCAAAGATCCTCTTTCGCTCTTCATTTGAGCCTGCCTTCGCTAGCATGTCCGCCACCTCTCGCTCCGTCTTGGGCACCTCAAAAGCTGGCGGTGATTGTGAGACCGAGGAGGCATACTTGGCCCGGATTAGGGTTGAGCTGTGATGTAGCTACGAATATACCACCGCGTGCTAGAGTCAGTAATCAATATGCATTCCCAGGATGGCTAAACATGGATCTCTTGCTTTGCACTTACTAGATGGGAGCCCGAGATTGATTGAGACGAGGCAGAGATCAGGCTCCGGGATCGACGGGCGGCAGTGCTCAAGCTGAAAGGCATGTTGTGTTTGATTGCGAGAGCTTTCGTCGGATGAGTGCTTGATGATGATGAGATGATCGATGCTTTGATGATGGTGATGAGCCGGAAGTGACTACACTTGACCTGTCACGCACTCCCGAGTCCTCCGAGCTTCGTGATAGGTTCTTGACACTCAAGTGAAACCTTTCCGGCTACTTTAATCATTGATTCATCCATCAATCACACCATGCAGCTGCATTCTCCACTCAGCCTTGACAAAAGTCTACTTGGCAGCTAAGGAGTAAACAAGATGAAGTACTGGAATACTTGATCCAAGTGTTAAGGAGATTGATATTGATACTCATTCTTCTTGGTAAAAAAACAGTCACCTTCTTACTCAGCTCAATCGAGTGTAGGTATAATAAAGTCAGCTTGAACCACAACAATAATCCGATGGTCAAGACTCAGAATATTATATATTTGATCCAAGGTGTGTTGATTTTTTTTTTAAATTTTTAGGATAATCATATGCAGAGGGAAAGCTTTTGATATGTGAGGCTCCCTATCTCTTGAAGATGTCTTGTGGGCAGCTAATTTGTTCATCTTGACCAATTGTCAATATGTAGTACCATATGAAAAAGGAAAGTCTGCTTAAGACTGAGATCTTTCAAAAATCTAAATATTGGTGCCTGATTGATATTGCCCATAATTGGCCAGCTTGAACTTTTGTTTTTTTTTGAGTCACTGCAGTCAAATAGTGCAACATATTATGAGAAATTCATTGTTAATACTGCTGTCCTACACAGATTTCTAGCTTGGTGGAAGTAGATTTCATTTTTGATTCTTTGCTTGGTCATTCAAGGGTTCATCATAAATATGTGGTTGAACCCTTTATTCCCAATTTGACCCGGCTCAGTCGCAGTGGTTCAGTCCACGGGGTTTGTTCCGAAAGTGGAAGGAGTTGAATGCGGCGGATTACGTAATCCTCGATCTTCACCGCTCAACTGGGAGATCATAAGCCAATTATCGGCATTGGATCACCGCTGTGGCAGACCAACTCACTTCCCTCCTCCTGTTGACCATCAACCATCCAAACACAATCAAGACACATCCGAGTAGGAAACAACAACAACAACAACAACAACACCAACAACAACAATGTCGATCAGGAGAATTCCAAACTTGATCCTCAACCATCCTCACCATCTCAGAACCCAATTCCTAAACAACCGATATCCGAATCGACTTGGTCTATTCCAATCCATATCATCCTCAACCCGCTCCTCAGATTCACAACCCAGCTCATCATCATCATCATCACCATCACCTTCAAACTCCGAGAAACCTAGGAATCCAAGACGGAACTCGACCAAAAACCAACCACCAAAGAAAGATCAACAGCAGGAGGAAGATCAAAATCCATTCTCCGATTTCATCAACCTCTCCAAGTTATTTGGCCAGCCTTCGAAGCCGAACTCGAGCGAACATCCTAAATTTAATAATGAATCTGATCATGGTAAGAGTATTTTGTACATATATATCTGCAAATATTAACATTGTTTTTATTCCTCAAAGGAAAAGGAAACAAATCAGGAAAAGGCGCTTCATCGACTTCAGGATCGGAACAACAACAATCGCCCGGTGCAGCCAATGGATTGGTCTTCTGGGCCTTGGGAGCTTATGCACTCTATCACATTCTAGCCGGTGATAGTCTGAGTAATCGGGAGATCTCATGGCAAGAATTTCGAACGGGCGTACTGGACAAAGGATTAGTAGAAAAATTAGAAGTCATCAACCGATCTAAAGTCAAGGTCTACCTCCATCCAAACGCATTCAAATTAACCGGAATCAATCCAAACGGATCATCATCCGCTCCTTCTGGTAGTATAGCATCCCCATCAGCCGGTGCATCCTACTTCTTCAGCATCGGTAGTGTCGAAGCCTTTGAGAGGAAACTAGACAAAGCGCAGGACGAACTAGGCATCCCAAGTCACGAAAGAGTTCCAGTCAGCTACCACGAACAGGCCTCACTGATGAACCTCTTCTGGAACTTTGCTCCAACCCTCACCCTCGCCGGCTTACTCTTCTACGTCAGTCGGAGGGCCACCGGAATGGGCGGTGCCGGTGGTGGCGCTGGTGGCCCCGGTGGGATCTTCAACATCGGTAAAAGTAAAGCCAAGATGTTCAATCACGAATCTGAAGTCAAGACCAAGTTCAAAGACGTTGCAGGGATGGATGAAGCAAAGGAAGAAATTATGGAATTCGTCAAATTCCTCAAGGAACCCGAAAAATGTATGTCCAATCAAATTCCTTCATTCCCTCTTATATCATGAGGACTAACAACCCGCTCTGAATTTTCACAGATGAACGTTTGGGAGCCAAAATTCCCAAGGGCGCCATGATTTCAGGCCCACCAGGAACAGGGAAAACGTTACTCGCCAAGGCGACCGCTGGAGAAGCCGGTGTACCATTCCTTTCGGTATCTGGCTCGGAGTTTGTAGAGATGTTTGTGGGAGTTGGACCCTCACGAGTACGAGATCTATTTGCGACGGCGAAGAAGAATTCGCCATGCATAGTCTTTGTGGACGAAATCGATGCGATCGGTAAAGCTCGAGGCAAATCGGGCGCGATGGGAGGGAATGATGAGAGGGAATCAACATTGAATCAGCTCCTGGTCGAGATGGATGGCTTCGATACTTCTCAGCATGTCGTTGTCTTGGCGGGGACCAACCGAGCGGATGTGCTCGACAAGGCGCTGCTCAGGCCCGGCCGATTCGACCGACATATCGCCGTCGATCGACCTGATGTTTCGGGGAGACGACAGATCTTCTTGGTCCATCTCAGACCTCTTGTGCTCGAAGGTGCCATCAAAACCAAGGAAGATCTCAAAAGTTCTGGCTCCGATCCGCTCCCCGAGGAGGATGAAGATTTCGAAGGTCCTGAATCCGTCGAGAAAGTCATCCCTGATTGGCTCGTCAAACTCTCGCATAAGTTGGCCGCACACACCCCTGGCTTCAGCGGTGCCGATATCGCCAACGTTTGTAATGAAGCTGCGCTCATTGCAGCAAGGCTCAGTGCAGAATTTGTAACGTTGAGTGATCTCTGCTATCTATCTATTAGATATTTCTATATTTGGGTCAACCAAAGTCAACCGTAGTCTTGCTAACTTGAAGGACCTTTTCAACGGTTGGCATGATTAGTGAAAAACATTTTGACATGGCGATCGAGAGAGTCGTTGCAGGATTAGAAAGAAGATCGAGAGTGTTATCTCCGGAAGAGAAACGAACGGTTGCCTATCACGAAGCTGGTCATGCAATCATGGGATGGTTCTTGGAACATGCCGATCCGTTACTCAAAGTCTCGATCATTCCGAGAGGGGTCGGAGCTCTTGGATATGCTTCTTATTTAGTTGAGCAATTCTCTATATACCTTATTCTTTGCGCCTTCTCTCTCTCTCTCTCTCTCTCTCTCTGGGTAATGACACTAATCTGTCGAAAGGATCGCTGTGTTTTGGAAATTCTTAGCCTCAAGAAAGGTTTCTGTATACTACCGAACAATTGATCGATCGGATGTGTATGACTTTTGGTGGCCGAGTGGCTGAGGAAATATTTTTTGGCAAGATCACAACGGGTGCTCAAGATGATCTGCAGAAGATCACGAAACTAGCGTTTGAATTAGTTGGAAACTGTTAGTCTCGGAACCTAATCTTAATTCCAAACCACTCTTTTTTTTCTTCAAAAAAGGATAGACTCGAGAAGGAGTGGGACGTTGATGATTTTTTTTAATATTTGAATTATAGATGGTATGTCGCGAGATTTCGGACCAATTAGCTTTGGTAGATCCGATTCCCAACAAGAGTCTTTCCAGAAACCGTACTCGGAGAAGACCGGTGAACATCTGGACTCGACGGTCCGGGCTCTGATCAATCAAGCTCATAAACGAACCACCGAATTGTTGACCGAGAAGAAAGAGTTGGTCGATAAAGTAGCCCAACGATTGTTGGACCGTGAAGTTCTCTCGAGGTATGTGATTGATTGGCTTGACTTTTGCCGTTTTAAGAGACAGGAAGGTCACAAAACACAGCATACACTGATGTTGATGAAAATTTTGGCTCGCTGAACAAACAGACAAGACATGATTGATTTGATTGGACGCCGGCCGTTTGACCGACCTGATGCATACGATGATGCGATGGGATCGAGTGGCAAGCCCGGCCCCCCACCAGCGCCTGGTTCCCCGAGCGGAGGCCAGAACCGTCCCACACCTAAGCCTGCCACAGACGGCCCTAATCCCTTGGGAGAAGGCATCGAGGGCGGCGGTGGTGTCCCTTTACCTACTCCTGCTCTCTCTTCTCCAGCGGTTCTCCCTGAGCAATCTCATTCTGGCCTTGCAAATTAATCCTCTACACTTCCCTCTCTTTCTTTCTTTTATTCTCTTTTGCAATAAAATATCAATTTTGTGGTTTTGTTCATCCCCCCCCCCTTTTTTTTCCAAATTCAAACTAAATTAAATAAAAATAAACAAACCGACAAACAATATCTTTTCCTGTTTTTGCAATAAAAAAGCTCCCCTCCCTCTCTCTTCCCTCTCTCTTTTTTTTTTCTTTTCATGTCAGTTTTGATTGGTTTGGTTTGAATTTACACTTTCTCTTCCAATTTTTTTTCTTCTTCTTTTTCCCTCATGAGAAAACAAAACAAAAAAATCAAATCAAATCACATTGTATCCCTGTTCCTTTCCTGCCTGATCACTTTATAATATACACACACACCCATCCATACACACATTCATATAACAAATAAAACAAACCAAACCAAATTTCCATCACTTTTTTTTTCTTCTTATATCATGTTTGGATACACTAATCCAACTACCTCACCTGTTCATAAAGACTTGATTATTACTCACTTTTTTGTTTTTGGTTTTTGAAGCTTTGTCATGGTGATGAAGGCATGTTTTGTGAAGTTGTATTACTATTAATTCCATTCTTTTTTTTGTTTGCCTTCATTAATAGAAATGCATCAAGAAATACATCCAAATAAATGTGTGTATGCATGTGTGTCCAAGTGGATTTTGTTTTTCCAATGTGATGATTTGATGATTTGTCTGCATAATGGACAACTTCCCATCAACATCTGCAGGTCTCCCAGAGCTGGTTTAGAGCCTCAAAATTCAAATTTCTCTGTGAGAATCAAGAATTTTCAGGTCTAGATTGACTTCTGTGAGGGTCCCAGATCCAACAGGAAGTCCTCCAATGGAGGACTTCCTGTTTTGAGTTAGAATATTTTAAGACCCCCCCCCCTCCCTCAGTTCTAAATTAACACTTTAATCAACACCATGACCAGCTCACATGAGCACCATTTTAACAAGGGTTCTGAAGTTTGCCAAAAATGAAGACCTTGGAGGTGTAAATCAAACTCTGCAAGGGTTGTAAATGTCGACAGGAAGTGATCCATTTATGCATGTCTTCTAGTGGTACATGATTTGTACTATATGAATGAAGGGGGGGGGGGTGCTCATTCATTTATACTTTTTGTGTAGGCTCTGAGCAGAGGGTAAAAAGAAATCCCATTTATTTTGTGTGTGTATACTGTTTGTTTTTCTCTACTGGGCTAGACACACTAGCTCAAGAAGCCTTGATGGTTTTACGGTCAATGATCCCTGGTATAGATACAAGTGCATCATTGGTCAATGCACTCAAGAATTTTCAAGAAGTTTGTATTGCTGCATACACTTGAAGTATAGGGATCAGCAAGCAGTTATTCATCTAGTGTTTGGACCACCAACTTGCAGCGCTTGTGTTTTGTATAAACTTGAATCACTTTTTGGTGTAGTTTTGGAGCTTTGTAGCATAGCATCTTGTGCATATCTAGTCACTATGCCTCTCTCTTTGATGAAGGATTCTCCAGGCGGTTTCTCTTACTGCCAAGAATGGCCATCTACATGATGATTTTTTAGGTAACATCTTGGGGGTCAGTTCAAAAATTCACACATTTTGGTTAGGGGCTTGGAAAAATGACTCCCGTTCTTTCGCCTACGACTCCCAACAACTGTCAGCAGACGTCTGTTGGGAGTCGTCTTCTAAAGTATGGGCGGATTCTGGGAGTTGTCTGCCCAATTTCAATTTCATTTTATTATTATTATTATTATTTTTTTTTTTGGGAGTTGACTCCCCAAACCACCCCCATGTATGAGGGGGTTTGGGAGTCGCTCCCACTTGACCGGAAGGGGTTGAAGCTGAACCTCATCCCCTTCCAGTTGATGAGGAAGATTGAACTCATCGACCAGAAGGGATCCCTTCCGGTCAATGAGGTTGAGCTTCCTCATCGACCAGAGGAGAGTCCTTCCGGTTGATGAAGCCCTCGCTGCAATCTGTCAATGAGGTATAGCTTCCTCATCAATTGGAAGGGATTCCTTCCAGTCAATGAGGAGGCTAAACCTCATCAACCGGAAGGGATTCCTTCCGGTTGATGAGTTCAATCTTCCTCATCGACTGGAAGGGATCCCTTCCGGTTGATGAGGGACGTCTTCCTCATTGACCAGTGTAAGACTCAAACGTGGTTCTGAAACCCTTTTTCTGAATGGAGAAGGGGATGGTGGAGTTGCAAGCTCTGCCCTTCTATGCTATCAGAACAACAAGACCACCAAGCTTAGCTTGGCAGTTATATTTATTGTGATAGAGGATAGTTCAAGATGAAGCTTCCAAGTGATGTGTATATGGGTCTGAAGTTGTTAATGAGTGATGATTATATTTGATGGAGTTGTTTCAAAGCTTTACTAACAAGGCTTGGAGCTCCGGGAGCGCTGCACTTCAACCAGTAATGGTATGTGAGGCAGGTTATGAGCACTTGGTACTTGTTATGATGATGAAACTGTTATGATTGTATTTCAATATAATGTAGTGTTATGACTTTCACTCGTATATAATCTGTAATGTGGGTTGGGATGATCTGATCCTCTGGTGGGATGATGGGGGGAACAACTGGCAGGCAGAGGCCTCCTTATATAGGCAAATGTGAGGGATTTTAGCCCCAGGGTACAGGCTGTTGGGGCATTTTAGCTGGTCTGAAGATCCTATGAGGGATTTTAGCTAGTCTAGTACATGCAGGTGAGGGAATTTGGCTGTTGAGAGCACTGCCTTGAGGGAATTTGGCTAGCCTACAAGGTTCTACTACAAAGGAATGCATGTGCGCCTACAAAGGAATTCAATATGCACTATGTGCCAATAAAGGAATTCAATACAACACAAAGGAATTCAATATTCAATATGCATCCAGTATGGAAAACAAGCCATCCTGAGAGTAAAGCATCCAAAAGATATCCCGTAACAGGTTGAAATCTGTGTAACTTCTAAACTATGAGAGATATGGGGTCAGTTGTAGTGAGTGACTAGGGGTAATTTTACCTGAGAAATCCATTTCTGATGTTATTTTTACCATATATATAATATATAAAGAGATAATAATAAATTTTATATTTTCTGCGTAGAAACACAGTATTATTTACCACACTGGAAGGAATCCCTTCTGGTCAATGAGATTTACCTTCCTCACTGACCAGAAGGGGCTCCTTCAGGTTAAGTGGGAGCGACTCCCAAACCCCCTCATACATGAGGGGTGGTTTGGGGAGTCAACTCCCAAGAAAAATAAATAAAAAAATAAAAAAAATGAAAATGAAATTGGGCGGACGACTCTCAGAGTCCGCCCATACTTTAGAAGATGACTCCCAACGGACGCCCGCTGACGGTTGTTGGGAGTTGATGGCAAAAAAACAGGAGTCGTTTTCCGAGTCCCTTTTGGTTAATCTCATTGTTAGATGGTTTCCCAAGTGCTGATAGACGTAGGTGATAATGATAAAAGACAAATACAAAGATATTTTGATCAGTGATCAAAGAGGATAATTATTAATCATTGGTAAAAATACAACAACTTAAATGTTACATATAGAATATGAGCACTAAGATATTTTTTCCTCTGGGCTCTTTAAAAGAGGGTCTTAGTTAAACAACTCCCAAATATTGGAGTTCCAACTCCCAAATATTTGGGACGTCACTAAGACCCCCTGTGGACAGTCCGCAGGCCGTCCACCCCGGAGATGGGAGTTGGACCTCCCAAACCTTCAACAGGTTTGGGAGTCAATCATCCAAAAAAAAAAAAATAAAAAAAACCCGGGGGTTTTTGGGAGTCAATCTTCAAAAACCCCCAGGGAGGTTGCAAGTCGGCGCCGGACTCTCAGCGGCAGAGAGGAATCCCTCTCCGCCTTTGAGAGTGTATACTCTCATCAACCAAGAGGGATTCCTCTAGGCCGGTGAAAGAGTACACTCTCACCGTCTGGGAGGAATCCCTCTTGGCCGCTGAGAGCTATACACCCTCAGTGGCCGGGAGGAATCCCTCTGGCGGAGAGGGATTCCTCCCGGCCAGTGAGAGTGTACACTCTCATTGACCAAGAGGGATTCTCTCGGAACTCTCACCGGCCGAGAGGAATCCCTCTCGGCCGCTGAGAGGATTCCTCCCAGCTGGTGAGAGTGTACACTCTCATAGACCCAGAGGGATTCCTCTTGGCCAGTTAAAGAGTAAACTCTCATTTACACTTACATGAAAGTGTACTCTTTCACTGGCCGAGAGGAATCCCTCTCGGTCAATGAGAGTGTACACTCTCACCGGCCGGGAGGAATCCCTCTCGGCCGCTGTGGTGGCGGGAGCGCGCCTTGGCCAAAGCTTTGGCCGGGTTGTTTGGGGCATGCGGAATGCTTGCGGCGCTGATGCGGAAAGCACGCGGAGCTGACGCTACACAAGCGGGCTGAGGAAAGCGGCGGTGCATTAGTGGAAAGTCTAGCTTTCCAAGGCGCGGGAAAGCGGAGAAAAGTAGGCCGAATGCACAAGGTTCTGAAAAGCTTACTGCGGGGAATCCGGGCATCGGCGGACGCCGGGGATCACGGCCGACCGCGGAACGGGGGTTCAGCTTATACTGCGGAGGGGCTACAAGGAGCGGGGAGCACCGAGGGGCGGAAGCGGGGTTCGGAGCGGACCAGAGGCGGAAGCGGCGGTGGGAGACCTGCTTAGGAGCGGCCGGAGGAGTACAGTGCGCATCACCTCTTCTGGACTACCCCCAGGAGGGTGTTCCAAATTTTTCAAAATGGGAGTTGAATTTTTTTTGAATTTTTTTCACTTTTTTTCAATGCCATTTTGTTTTTTCTTCTTTGAATTTGATTTTTTTGAGATTTTTGTCCATACTTATCAGCAGAAGAGACACAATCAGAACACAGTCATGTAAAAAAACCAAAAAGCTTGCAACAGCCAATTGAAATCATTGATGAGATCTAATTGTTGCATTCCAAGGGCTGCAATGATGGATGTTTCAATTATGACTGCAAGTTAGCCGGACAACTGGCACTGGGTTTTCCTATTTTTTTTCTCCTTCTTCCCTCAATATCATGTATTTGGATGGTCTATGTGCATAATACACACCATATAAATGCATATTGCATACCCACTAGGCCATAGTATGGCCTTTTTCCATGGGTGTTCCAAATTTTGAATTTGAAAATTTCAAACTTTTTTGTCTTGCATGCTACACAATCTTGCTTTATATTTTTGAGTTCCACTACTTCTGTAGAGCTCAAATAAGCATTGTTTACACATGTAGCATGGTTGGTGTGAACAAACATACAGATCAAAGTTCAATTTTTTTTTTGCAGGTGCGGGGTAGTCGAGAAGAGGTGATGCGCACTGTACCTGGACCGACAGGCGTCGGAGGGGTGACATGCGGAGTTCGAGGGGGTGACAGCGGATGACATCGCGGGAAGCAGGAAGGGACTGGAGTGTGGGATACTTAGGAGGAGTGGAGTTCGAGGCGGAAGAGGGGGGGGGAGAGAGGGGGACTTATGACTCGGAACATATCAGAAAAAGAGAGTGACTTAGGAGTGAATCGTGTATTAGCCTAAAGAATTGTTAGAGATAGACTAGAGTTAGAGTATTACCTACAAAAGAACAATAAAAGAGAGTTATTTTAACTACCTACAAGACCATCAAGCAAGTTACCCCGGACAACAAACCGGAGTAAGACGTGTTGCGGAGCGGAGAAGTGCAAGAAATCTCCGAGGGCGCGCCTTTCTTTC